GAGGCTTTTCAATCTCAATTTATATGACGTCATTTTCAACGGTTATTTTCGGTGATGTGTTTCATGTCAACGAGTTGTGGAGCTTGTATCGAGGTCAACATAATGCAAGTTGAGATGTACTTACACTTATTATGGACGAACCTCCTCTTGCTTTTTATGTGCTAAATTTATAAACCGCTTTTGATTTACGTGTATTGATGCTTTTTCAATTTGTCTTGAAGTTAGATTTTCATCGCCAAAGTATAGCTCTACCGCCTCATTTCCTCTATTAACATAACTTTCATTGTAGAATCCAAATTAACTGGATCAATATTATCTCGCAAATTAAATATGTTTTTAAATTTTAAATTATGCTGGATAAAAATTTTATCATTTAAATACCTTTGATCTTGTCAATTTCTCTTCTTTCCTTGAATTTGTATAAAAAAGTTGTATTGAAACTCAAAAAATTGTGACTTGTTTAAAAAATAAAAAATTAATAAAGTAATTAACTAGTCAAAGACTAGTTTCACCGAAGAATGAATACGATAGTCGTCTCTATCTACCAATATTTTCACTTATGAGCTTATTATCTCAGAAGAGTAGATTGTACCATTCCATTTTTTTTAATAGAATGATCTCTTTAACTTTGTTTCCTTTATAATTCTCTCAAATTAAATCTTTTTTTAAAGATTAATTATACTCGATAAAAGTTTAGTCGTTTAAATACCTTTGATCTATTCAATTTCTCTTCTTTGTATGCATTTGTATAAAAAAGTTGCATTGAAATGCATAAAATATGACTTGCTTTAAAAATTCAAAATTTATAATGTAATTACTTATTCAAAGACTCTAGTTCACCGAAGAATGAAGACGACAATCATCTCTTTCTACCAGTAGTTTAGGCAGACAGAGGCCAGCTGAGTCGTTAAGACCAGCTCCAATTCCAAGTCAGACCCGTCAGGGTGAGCAGGCTCGAGTATATGCATTAAGTCAGTAGGATGCAAAGGATCCACCTGACGACATTGCAGATATTTCCTTATTTCAATAAATCTGTCAAATCTTTATTTATATTGCAAAAATTTTATTATTCTCCTTATTGTAGGTGTTATATCTATCCAAACTAAAGTTGTCTTGGCTTTATTTGATATTGGGGCATCACATTTGTTTTTCTTTGAAAAGTTTGTAAACTTCGAAGGATTGGAAGGATTCAGAATGCTCGATGCCATATTAGTTTTTCTATCTAATGGGTCTCGCATGATGGTTGATAGAAGATGTGTGAATCTAACCATCTGTGAGAAAAGGTTCAAGGTGAATTTGGTAGTGTTACCACTAACCTAGTTCGAAGTAATCCTAGGGATGAATTGGCTATCCAATTATTTCACAACTATTGATTGCTCTAAAAAGATAATTAAATTCAATATCCCCAGAGAAGAAGAATTCAAGTTTGTGGGAGATAGATAAGTCATGTCTATGATGATATCCCGTTTAAAGGCATGCAAATTATTAAGAAAAGGGTATCAAGGCTTCTTAGCTCTAGTTATTAATATTGTGGATGAACCAAAGAAGTTCGAAGATATACTGGTAGCGAAGGAGGATCCAAAAGTCTTCTTAGATGATTTGTCAGGTTTGTCTCTAAGAAGAGAAATAGATTTCCCTATTGATTTAATACCGAGTGCAGAACCAATTGCAAAAGCACCTTATGGAATGACTCTTTTGTATTTTGGATTTTTATTTTTCTGATGAAATGAATCTATTAGATAAATTTTCCTCAGTTTAACTGTCAGTTCTCGTCTTGGTAATTTTAAGCTCCCGGACCGGGTTGTGGCAAATGATATCTTTAACTTTGTTTCCTTTATAATTATCACTGGATTTTGGCTTCAATCTTCAATGCGAAACAAATGTATGTATTTATTTTTCCTTAGATCTGCTTGCAAGAATAAAAAAAGTAGCAATACAATTGAATTAACCAAAAAGTTTATCATAGCTCGCTCTCTACAATCGTTGTGCCCATTAGAGGCTAGGGCTATCCAAAAAGTTCGTTGTTCATGAACATTTCTTGTTCGGCTCGCCAGGGAGTTTGTGTTCGATTCGTTCGATAAAAAAACAAAAAGAACACTAATAATTTTTTTTCCTTCAGTTTATAATCGAACCAAACACTAACAGTAATGTGTTCGAATCATTACTATTCGAAATATAAAATAATTTAAAGTAATTATATAAAAAAAAATTATCATATTTCAAAAATAATTATATGCTCTAAAAATTTATCATATTTTAAAAACTTAAATCCTATAAATTATAATAATGATTTATAGTTTTATAAGAATTTGAGTTTGGAACTTTAAATGTATATTTCATTTGTAATTTTTTTTTAACAATTTGTAATAATATAATTGAAGAAATAATATTTTTTTAATAGACAAATGTTATTTAAATTTTTTTTTTTGTTAATTTGAGAATTAATAATTAAATTTATTAAACTTTTTTGGTAATTTGACAATTAATAATGAAATTTATTATCATTTTAACGATTGAAACTATTCAAACAATACAAACAAATTTAAAAGATTTTGAATAATTCAAAAAATTCGAATAATTCGAACAATTCAAACATTTCAAACATTTTAAATTAATTTCAAACAAATCGAACCGGACACGAACAGTAACTTCACGAACAATTTCAAATACGAGTCTATTTCAAACACACTTAATTTTAAACGAACCGTACACGAACACGAGCTTTGTTCGTTCGTGTTTGATTCGTTTACATGCTTATTAGAGACGAGTATTCTACTGCTAAATTTTTTTGTGATCCTTCACGTCCTTCATAGTGCCATATATTTGTCTTTTAAACAGAGAACCTTTCAAATTACAATAGGGCGGTGGGCTTAAACTTGATCTATATTATGCATTAGCCTTTACCATCCAATCAAAACTCTTTAGGTTCGCTGCATTGATAGTGATGCATGCTTAACCATCTAGCTTTCTTTTGAATAATTTGATCATTTATTTTATTATTTATGTTTTTTTTTATTTTTATTTGTCGCATATGTTTTCTTCTTGCAACCTCTCAGCAAGTTCTTTTTACTAAACGTGATTCGTAAACATATCCATTTAAAATGCATTGATGCTACTCAATTAATAATTTGATTCAAATCTTCTCTCACCATTGTGCATGGCCATGTGAATATCTAGTTCCTCAATAATATCCACCACCATCTCATTATGTTTAATACATTGGCCTTGTTCTAGTTTTTAAATTTCTTTTAGATAAGTGTGCATTTTTTCTCTTACATATAATGGTACTTTCTTAATAATATTAGTTCCTTGAGCTGCTCCATAAGAATAGCTAAGATGCCTCATTTCATTATTAATACTTATGTGTTCCATCTTTCCTCCTCACCTAAATTTTTTTGTATGTAAATGAATAAATTATAAAATGATTTTAATTTAAAAAAAATAAAAAATACAGTCCATATATATTTAAATGAAATTTAGCAAATATGACAGAAAATACATAAATTAGAGAAATAATCATTAATTGCATAAATAATTACAAATTATTAACTACAAAAATAATTTCATAATCTGCTAAGAATGTATAAAATCACTAATGATATTTATAGATTGTCAAAAATACAATTTTTTTTTCAAAAACGAAATCTCCAATGACATTTATGAATAGAAGTGCTAATCAATAAACCCTAAATCAAATCACCGGCTATGATATTAGCAAATCACAATTTTGCTATACCCATTAAATATTTTTTTTTGCAAAAGAACGTGTTAATCAATAAACCCTAAATATTCTCAAATTTACTTAAAATTTAGGGGCATCTACATTCATACCACCTAATTCCTATCATCCCATGTATTTACATATCTAACACCTAAACTTCACTTTTTTGCATTTATACCATTCAAATCTTTCGAATCACATAAAAAATACCCCCATTTTAATTTTTATTAAAAGGTAAAAAACACATTTTCATGCATAGGTGATTTTTATTCATAGGTAAGATGGCATGTATGTAAAAATTGTAGTTTAGCTGTTAGATATGTGGCCACTCATGTAATTATAGTTGAGAAGGTAGAGGGAGCGATGATGATGAGAAACTGGTTGATGGATTCTTAGATATTCTTCAATTTAAGGCGAAGCTATGGATGTTACATGAGTGCTTTAGTGTTGGATTGAGTGAATCGCAATTCTGTAACTCACCATGCATGACAGGATGTAAAGCTGATACTCCTCATGTTGCACCGCATTGCTTCAAAAGCGGGCTCTTAAGAAGACTGATTGAGACATAGTTATTGCTGCTTTGCTAAATTTTAGCTTTATTGTGCAAATTTTTTTGAAATAGTTCAGGTATATCCAAGAAACTCTGCTGCATAAGAACAATTAATTAAGCGAATTAAATAAAGTATATGTTTTTTTAAATGAACATATTTTACTCATTGTTCTTGGAAAATTGGAAAAGAAAATTTGAAATAAAAAACCTGAAACAAGTGGGACATGTTCAGATGCTGGAAAATGGAAGTGAAACTAGAACCACTTTTTTGTGATTTTCACTTTGCTTCTTTCACAGGGAGGCCACAAGCAACATTTTGCAAATCAATGTGTTTTATCCAACATGTTTGATTTTTGCTTTAGTAATACGCATATAGTAAAATGACTTGGAGTGTGTTTTGGGCTTCAGAATTTTATCATGAATGTCTTACCCAACATGTTTGATCTTTGCTTGATGTATAGGCACCCATCTAGTGAGAGAAATAGGAATGAGTTTTGGTTAAATCTTCACTAAGATGGAAAAACTGTGAGGCGTAAGGACAATTTACCAAAAGTTGTTGGAAATCGGAATGATGTTTTCCACTTGTTTCATATCAGTCTTTTTCTTTTCGCATTGTAGTTGGCATCTAGAATTTTGCCTTCAATGTAACTTTTTTTCTCATTCTAAAACTTGTTTCACAATGTGGGTGGGATTAAGACATAACTGGAAATTTCTTGTTTACTTTTGCAGGAATATTCTACTTCATCTATCAAGATGAGGAATGCTTACAGAGTGAATGGACATGAGGTCGTCTTGCCAACTCCCGAAAGTGAAAGGAAGGTGAAACTTCACTTTTATGCATATTTTCTGGATATTGTTATGTGACTCATGCCTTGATATGGTTATTTTTTGGTTGTTTTGCTTTATTTCTGTTGCTTGCTTGTTAGGAAATGAACTTATCAGGATATATGCAAACACCCATGGCGAACCTGCTGAAGAAAGTCGATGTCAGAAAAACTATGCCTAAACATCGGAAGGTAATATCTTTTTTGCACAAGTTTATAAGCATTATGGATCACTTAATTTTTTTTTGTAGAATTTACTGATTAGTAGGTGTCTTCTGTTTCTGTCGTATTCTTGTCTGCTGTAATATTTAGTGACTTGATTAGATATCCTAATTTTTATGAGTACGCATTGGATTGATCTAGCGTGGATCTTTGTATTTTTATTTTTTATGAAAATTAATTTTTTTTTGTTGCTTCCTATTGACATGGTAGGTGACTCGACATGAATATGAGGTTGAGACATCAAATGGTCAGACAATTATGAAGCGCCGAAAAACCAAGAGCACTGTCATGTTTGGGGTACTAATTCTAATTTTATTCAAGGAAAAGCCTTGTGAATCTTCATAGCATACTTTATTATTATTATTATTATTTTTAATATTCAGGATCCAAGTTCTCGTAAGACAATGCATGGGAGGACTCCAAATTCGAATAAGGACATCACAATTCATGGAAGGACTCCAACTTCTAATACAGACATCACACAAATGCCAAAGGTGCCATTTCAGAAGTTGTCAACTCCCTTTATTCCTTTAATTGTAAATCAGCATGATAGCTGCTTAAACATTTTCTCTTCTCACGCTTGTTGATTCGCTTGTGGTCATCACCTTTTTTCTGATTGTAAATGCCTGTATCTCTCCATTTGTTTTTAAAATCTTCAAATGAAGATTTAAAGGGCGGATTTATGATTATTCTAGCTACAGAGAGATTCATGGGGCTATAATTCAGGCCTGCTCATTTCTTTCATAGAACAGGATCTGTTCAGGCATTTTTCAAGTTTCGCCATGGTAGAGTGGTTTACTAGCAAATGTAAGTAACTCGGGAGCGTCCCATCCAGGCAGAATGGGTTTGGAGCATCCCATTTCCCATCCCGTGAGAGCCGGTAGCGGGAAATCTCTTTCCTGTGGTTGAAAGCCAAGACCTTGCTGGCCTCTATTTATTATATGTTTATTTATAATTAGGGTCTAGTTTATTTCTTAGTATAATTATGCATTTTAGAACTTGATTTAGACCCTTTTTACTTGAGTATGTTTTTTGTTGTTTCTTTTGTCTTTCCTATCCGGAGAGCTATACCGTTTTCTTCCTTAAGTGGTGAAGCTGTAACTAGGAGAGAGCATGTGATGGGTTCTTCCTGTATTCCAGACCTCGCCAAAATTGCTGCTGATCAATGTTTCCCAGCTCTCTTGTCTGCCAGACGGCAGCCTGAATAGATTTTTCCTCTTCCAATCCTTATGCATTTTCAAATTTTCTCTAACTATTGTCCAAACATCTCCAACACTTATTTCGACCTGTTACACCTTGGAACCAAATAATAGTGTCATTTGGTATTAGAGCTAATTCTTAATGTCATTTCCTAACTCTAACTCTAAGTTTTCAAAATCTAACATTTCTTCTTCCACCAAAGTACATCCCTATACCCTTGCCTAAATCTAAACCCTAAGCCAACCTTAGATTCACAACCCTACCCTAGTCGAAATCTTAAAATGAGGAGCAATTCACCATGCCAACATGGTGAACGTCTCAGTGAGGTGTTCGGGAGCTTAACATGGAGGATATGTAGTGAGAAATCTTTTAATTGCAATGTAGGCTTATTGATTTTGATAGAAGACAACATAGAAAAGTCACTCCTAAGAACATTGATGTTCAACTGAATGGAGAAAATAGAGAAAACCCTTTTCACTAAGAGCTTCAAGCTACGAAGAATAAGTCTTGTGTCGGTTTGACATTCGAGTATTGTCGGCCGTTTTATTGTCCAACCTTCGTGATTGCGAAAGCGGATAACTTTGGAGCGATGGATGATTTGCCAATCATGAGTATATGGCGAAAACGGATAACTTTGGAGCGATGGATGATTTGCCAATCAGCAAGAGCACATTGAACATAGTGCCAAGACCCGTCCTCATGAGAAGTCAACAAGAAGGAAAAAAATGATTGATTGAGTTGGCACCCTTAAGACATTTTCAGCCAGGAGGCATTTCAAGTGTCGTGGTTTTTGGCATGTTGCATCTAATTGCCCAAATAGGAGTGAACTATTTTACTGAGCAGGGTTTAGTGGACTAAATCTGTAGTGGAGACTCGGGAGAGGAGAATGGAGAGTACCTGAAACCTACATATGATGGTGAGATGATTGTGTTTTTATGAATTCTCTAGTTTGAGCCTGAGAGGGATCAACTCTAACTTAGACATAATGTCTTTTGTATCTGTTGCATTGTGAAGATGAATGTATGTAATCTCATTATAGATCGATGTTGTGAGAATGTGCTGTGTAGCTTGATGGTGGATAAGTTTAGCTTCACTATCAGAAGCACTCTCAACTCCATTCTCTAATTTGGTTGAAAAAAGGGAATGCAATCTTTGTTGACGAGATATTTGACAAAGTTTTCTATTGAAAAAAAGTTATAGGATTACACATAGTGTACTTTGTGTTTATGGATGCATGTCACATTTTGTTAGACCAACCTGATAATATGACAACGGTAAACTTCATAAAAGTCACAAAAACACCTCATTAGTAGTGGTGAGAAGCATATTGGATTATTTCCCTTAAAGTAGTTGGCAACGACGAGTACTCAGGTAGTGATGGATCTACATGTTACATTTTTATAAGCTTATGAGAGTGGCGCCAGTGGGATTAGCCTTGTGATGTTGGAGGACAGTGAGATAAATTAGTCGATACCTGAGGTAGTATGACCCATATTAATGGAGTTTCAAGATGATTGGACTGACAACCTATTATCTGGATTGCCAACTCTACTTCGATCCAACATGCTATATATCTCATTTTAGGCTATAAATCTCATTACAAGATCAGTGTTCTTCAATCGATCATCTTATCAGATGCGACCATTGAGAATTTGATGGCTTGTGGATTATTTTGTGAGAGTGCTAGTGTTATACCAACATTGATTGTGCCCAAGAAGGATTGATTATGGAATATATGCATTGATAGCAGGGCAATGAATAAGGCCATTTCGAGATTAGATGATTTGTTTGATCAGTTACTTTGAGTTATAATCTTGTCCAATATAGAACTTTGAAGTGGATATCAACATATTTGGATGAGTTCCAATGTTGATTTAAAGCTCGCTTTCAAGTCGCATGATGGATTTTATGAGTGGACAATCATTCTTTTATCATGTTTAATGCACCGAGCTTTTTAATGAAATTATTGAACAAAGTTTTTTGAGCATTTATCGAAAATTTATGATTGTGTACTTTGGTTATATTCTGGAGTACAACTAGTCAAAGGAGGAGAATTTGCAACACATGCAATGAATTTTTGGAGCTTTTTGGACATAGCAATTATATGATCATTTTAAGAAGTGGTATATTATTTCAGCGGCTAGCATAGAGATAGATTTAATTAAGATCGAGGATATTATAAATTGGTTCAGCTCAATCACTTACATAGGTACATTAGTTCCACAATTTACTTTTTTCTATTGGAGGTTCATTATGGAATTTTGTTCAATTGCATCCCCTTTGACAAATCTTTTCCTCTGGCCTCTATTCTAGCTCTGCCTGATTTCTGTTAGGTGCTTGAGGTGGTTAGACACCTCTAATATATGGATTAGAATTGCACTAAGTCAAGGTGGACATCTCATCATCTTTCTTAATGAGAAGCTAAATAGTTTTAGGCTAAAGAATTCTGACTATGATAAGGCGTTCTATGCCATTGTGAGAGCTCTTAGTTATTATATTTATTATTTATTGACCAATGAGTTCACTCTTTACATTAGCCACGAGACCTTCAGATTCTTGGAAATCAAGAGCAAGCTAAAGGTAGACATGCATTTTTTGCTCAAGCATAATGCGGAGATTCAGACAAACTAGCTGATGCATTGAGTCATCGACGTATATTAGTCACTATCATGCAGTTAAAAGTAGTGGGGTTTAAATTATTAAAGGATTCTTATGCCAATGACGAGGATTTCTTCGATATTTGAGTTCATTGTTAAAATATACCGTGTGACCAGTTCCACAGATAAGATGACTACTTGTTATATCAGAACAAATTGTGTATTCCTAGGAGGTTCCTTAGGAAATAGTATTTTGTTAGAGTACCATAACGGAGGGATGACATGATCCATTGGCATGGATAAGCCTCTTTTCTTTAGTGAAGATAATTTTTATTGGCCCCAATAAATAAACGATGTGGGGAGACATTTTAGACAATGCATAATTTTCTTACCTAGCCTAGACTTGAGAGTAAAATATGGGTCTCTTCACTCCGCTTTTCATTCCAGAGTTATTTTGGGTGGATGCTAGCATAGACGTTGTTGTGCATCTCCCACCGAGCCAAAGGAACAAAGATTTGATTATGGTGGTAGTGGACCGCTTCTTGAAGATGCGCATTTCATAATTTGCCACAAGTTGATAGCTGCTTCACATATAGTAGATGTATAATTCTAGGAGGTAGTTGTTTTCATGCATACTTCAAACTATCACTTTAAACAGGCATATGAAATGTTTTTAGGTCACTTTTAGAGGACCTTAGATAAATTGGGTATAATAATCCAATTCAGTTCAACAAGATTTTTTCAGATTGATGTACAAATAAATGAGGTGAATTATAATTTGAGAAACTTCCTCGGGTGCTTTGTGGGAAAAAAAATATTAGGCTGTGTGATTTTATTCTTCCTCAAGTTGAGTTTGCTTATGATAGGTCATTTAGCCAGTCCACAGGTTACAACCTTTTTGAGATTATGTACATGCGAAACCCTCTTTCACCATTAGAATTAGTGCTTATTTTCCCCACTATAAAGCTTAGCACTGATGTAGAGGCCAAAGTCAGAGAGGTTTTGAGCTTACATGAACAACCAAGGAAGGAAATTGTCAAGCAGAACATCAAATATTTGAAGCAAGCTAACAAGTCAAGGAAAGTTGTGATCTTTAAAAAAAGTGATGTGGTGTAAATCAGATTGAATGAGAGGTTTCCTATAGGTTCATTTGGAAAGCTAAAGCTTATAGCGGACGGTCCATTCATAGTTAAAAAATTCAATGACAATGCATACAAGATTAGTTTATCGGGAGACTACAACACTGTTGTTATCTTTAACATCGTTGACTTGTGGTTTTAATACGATGATCCAAATGCTTCCAGAGAAAAGGCGCTGCCCCTCATACTTGGTAAGAGTGATGCAGGAGCGTCCTGTTAGGCAGGACGAGCATTGGAAGGGAAATTCCTTCTTGTGAGAGCCAAAAGCGGGAAATCGCTTGCCTACTGATGCTAACTGGTTCTTGTAGGTCTTTATTTACTATATTTTGATTTATAATTAGGGTTTAATTTATCTTAAGTATGAGTATGCGTTTTAGAACCTGGTTTAGACCCTTTTTACTTTATTCGTGCCTCGTCAAAAGTGCCGTCAATTAGAATTTCTTGCCTTCTTCCCTGCCGGACAGCTGCCATACTAGATTTTTCCTCCAATCCATGTCAATCCTTCAGATTTTTTTTCCTTATACTATGCTCCTAACATCCAAACACTTATTGGCCTGCCTACACCTTTGAACACTAGAACAATTTCTATGTAGTTTCAGAGGATATGATTCTTTACGATGGATGGATCTTAGGATAAAACGCCCACGTGCTGTAATGTTCTACCGAACACTAATACATGTCCTTATGCTGTGCCAAGATGAAATATGCACATGTTAATGTCGTAACTTGCTTTGTTTGTTAATTTCTGTCAGTGATTAACTCGTTCATGTTTCCTTCAGTAATTGTTATCATCTTTTTGCAGATGACAAGTGGACCTCAATCCCACCATGCTAAATTAGGCGACTTGTTTTCTGAAGGCTCTTTGAATCCATACACAGATGATCCTTATGCCTTTGGATGAAAGGTAATTTCAAATTGATGCCCTTTTATATTGATTCTTTCTGAACGGGCGCTCTTTCTGTTTCCAATTAAAAACATCTAGTCAAATAAACGAAAAAAAAAAAAAAAGTTTGCACTCCAAAACTTAATTTAAAAATTTAGCCTTAGATGAAACCATTTGGCTCTTGAATATGTTGATAATTATGAACTCTTTAGTTGATTCTTTGGCCCATTGGGGCAATGTTTTCTTTTGTGGCATTATGATATGTTGTTATGTATTGTGCTGTTTTGTGTTGTCCTATTGAGCACGATGGATGATTGTTTGATTAAATTGATTTGAAATTTTATGAATTATTTTTGATAAAATTTTTATTCATGATATTGTGAATGATTAAATAACTAATATCATTAATTAGCAAATTGTATAAACTACATTTTTATTAAAATAGTTTTTTTGTTGAATAATTTATATAAGTTAATGATTAAACTTGTGCATCCGTGACTTAAACCAAACCTATAATACTAATTATTTAATCGTAGATTTTATATAAAAATATTTGGCAATTTTAATGGTGGAAAATGTAAATATGTAGCCACCTAAAGCATCCGAGACCCTATTTAGAAAATTTAAGTGTAATGAAGGTTTTAGAAAAATTTCTTTCATAAAAAAAATTTAAAGTGGTTTTTTTTTTTGAGAAATTCCATAACAATTAACCTGTATGAAATTTGACCCTCCCATCTATAAGACGTGCATGGGTCTTCAATTAACATGTGTGAAGTTTAGCCTACTTGTCTATAAGACATGCACGATTCTTCAATTAACCTGCATGAAAGTGGTGCGAACACAATTTTTTCACCGAGTTGAAACAACCTGAATAAGTACTTATTCAATAAGTTTTTCCACCAAGCTGGAACAACCCTAACTGGTAAAGTATTCTTACTTTTTTATACCTTTGAGCACAAGGCAGTAATGACTAGGGCTGTAATTGAGCCGAATACATCATAATTCATACTTGGCTTGATATAATTATAAGTTATTCATGTTCGGCTTGAGCTTATTTAAAAGTTTCAATGTTTGAACTTGATTTGTACTTAATTTGTTTATGCCAAGTGAATAAGTATTTAAACGAGCTACTAAATGAATTAAAAATCAAATGAATATATGGATTTTCGTATAAAAAATTAAATAAATAAATTTACAAATCTGATCTCACCTACTAATTTATCGATTATAATCTCTGTCAAAATGAAATGTAACTCATGAACCATTATCATATAGGATATAATATCTTATATTTTAGCGTGATCATACTTTCAAGTTTGCGTCGAACTCCCTCATTCAGATGTAGGTGTTGGTTTTCTCATAGTGATATGCACTTGTTCTTTTTCTAGTTTTTTTAGATAATTTTTTATGTCTTTTATATTGGCTTGTAGCATCATCTTTATTGTTAATTATATAACTTATATTGATTGCAGTGCACTTTATCAACACCACTTTTTAATTGGGTAAGACTTACGAGGAGAGTGGAAATGAGAGATATACAAAAGACTAGAGTTTTAGAGTTCTTTGCACGTTGCAATCTCGTCGTTGCCATCAATGATGTTACGTCGATTACTAAACATGTTTAGGCGGGACTGATTGAGAATCTGCAGACCTGCCCCCTAGCTGTCTAGGAGTTGAATGGCTCAGTGGGAAAGGGAGGCACGGCGGTGAGCAGTGACAGAGGAACTTGAAAAATAGGAGGGGCCCATGAAGGTTGTAATCACATTTGTAAGGAGGAGAAATCAAAGAAGTTTTGACGGGGAAAGTTTGAAGGGCTTTGGGAGAATTATTTTTGGGCTAATAACCTTGGGTTGTTTTGCTCGGCTGCAGTTATTTTTTCTTTTCTCGTGGTGTTCCTAGCGACTTCTAGGGTTTGTGGAGAAACGATCTACCTCTCGAATAGTAGATTATCATGTATTTTGTTTTTTTTTCTTTGAATTTGGTTATAGCAACCCTCATTTGAGTTTATCTATCTCTCTCGTAAATATAATCATTGTTTGTTCATTGTTTTTAGGTCTGGATCGTATTAGATGCTTGCAGTCTCTAGCAACTCAGTGTTTCGTATGTTTCAGGCGAAACCGGGAGATGGAGATGTGAAACTGCGAGAGGCCATAAGAAAAGTGAGGTTTGCGGAGGTTTAAAGTTAATTTTTAAGGGGCATTTCATACATAACCACATAAGTCTAATGTATTTTCATATCTAACACCTAAACTTTAACTAAATAAACATATAATTAATAATTAATCTAAAAAAATATTGATAGAATAATATATTACTATTAAATATATAATTAAATAAATTCTAGTTAATTAAATTTTATTTAAATAATATATCATATATGATATGAGTTATCGAGTTTAATATCGAATATTTAACAAATTTACTTGTTGAACGGCAAATAAATTTGTTCGTGAAGAAAAATGAACAAGTTCGATTTTGTTCATGTTTAGCTCAAGTTCTGAGCTTTTAAAAATTATTCAAGCTTGTTTATTAATTGATTTGAACGAATATGCTCGAGTCTTAATTGAGTCGAGTTCGAGTTATTCATCAAGTGTATTGGTTCATTTACAACCATAATAATGACGATGAGACAAGATCGATGAAGTCAAAAATACAACAAAAAAATTTATTTTTTTCATGAATTTTGTCTGTGTATGGTGTGTGAACTGGAATGAAGAGGAAGTAAGTAGGAAGGGTGAGGCTAGGTGTTTTTGGTTTTCTATTCAGAGAAAGGATGTTAGGGCGCTGCAAGATGATGCCGAGAGGAGTAAATAGGGAAGCTTGTTTGAGGGTGGTGGTGTAAACAAGCGGAACACGAGCGAGCCCAGGCTCAGCTTGTGTTCGGCTCGTTTATATTTCGAGCTCAAAAAGTGTGTTTGTGTTCGGCTCGTTTGCTTAGCGAGCCGAACACATGCCATTCACGAACAAAGAGTCATTTTGGCAACCTTAATCACGTTGTCATAAGATGTTAAGATTTTTGGGGCAAGATTTAATTAATCACGTAGTCATAAGATGTTAAGATTTTTGGGGCAAGATTTAAAAATTATTGTTTATATTAAAACATCATTTGAATCTAATTTGATAATTTTAATTCTATTTTCTTAATTAATACTTTAATTGATTATAAATCTTTGTAGTTTTGTAGTCAATTAATTTTTTTAAAAATACCACTCATCAATATATATATATATATATATATTAGAGAGAGAACACTTGTGACTCACTGCATGTCAAAATAAGGAAAAAGTACAGGAGAGGGAATGGGAGGTGGATCCCCAATCTAAAAAACAAAAAAATACATTGTAAACTCACCCCTATGAGTTCCTCCTCCCACAGTACAACCCACACAAAGAAAAAACCCGAAAAAATACAAGCATACCCAACCCAAACAAAATACAAAACCCAAAACAAGTATACATGTGCAGAATCTAGTAAAAACAAGTAAAAATAAAAGGAAAACCAAGAAAGTGGCATCAGACAAAAATTCCAAAGAGCTCCACACCAAATCTGCCCAATCATTAGAGAGGCAAACCAACAGAAACCAGATCCATATAAGAGGACCAACAAAATAGTATCCAGCATATCAGAAGATCCATCATGCTTGAAAAGAGAGAACAACAAAGAAAACAGTGCAGGTAAAAAGGACAAATCGTAGCAGAAATTCCAAACGGGGGTGCAGGCCAATAGGCAGGCAAAACCTCTAAGTTCTAACATAAGGCAGATCCAAAGAGTCCCTAGTAAGTAAAAGCTGGAGGGGGATAGGGGGGATAAACCAAAAGAACCCACATCACCTCCATGCCTGGCTAACCAGTCAGCAGGTGAGTACCTTCCCTGTGAATAAAACTCCATCTAATAGTCAGATGGCGATTAGCAATTATAGCTTTTATTCGTTTGAGAGTACAGTTAATATCCCAGTGGGGTGGAGAAACACCCACTAACATCTCATATAGCAGTTTAGAGTCAGTTTCAACTGTAATTGTATAAAAATTAAAAGCAAATGCTACTTTTAAAGCAAGATAGACCCCCCAACATTCAGTTAATAAGAGAGTATCAGCGGCAACAGGTGAAGTAAATAACCCAAAAAATGCCCCCTCAGAGTTTCTAAAGAGGCCACCAACAGCAGCAGACAACATATCCCAGCTGTCATCAACATTAACTTTCACCTAGCGAGGAGGGGGAGGCGTCCAACTGACTAATAGAGGGGGCCTAGATTTCTTACCTATGGGAGCAAAATTAGCAGAGGCCCTTAGGGCCTTAGAAACGAGTTGAACACGAGCTTCTTATCGAGTCGAATATGAGCCGAGCCGTTTTGACAGCCCTGGTTGAGGGTTGAGGCTGAGGCTGAGCTTGTGGTTGGGGTTGGGGCTTAGGAGGAGAGATCGCAGTGATTTAGTCTTGCATGTGAGTAGAAGAGGTCACTGGCGAGTGATGCAAGCGAGGAGGGTCGTTGGGTTCAGAATCATCCAGTGAACATGCATGAGGGAGTTTGAACATGAGTAGCGATGTTGGGCTTTTCTTACTGTACATGAAAAAAAGAAAAAAAAAACAAGCGAGAGGTGGAGAGATCTTGTGAGATAGTGGAGACAGACTTGTGAGGGTTGCTAATGGGAGCATCTAGGGGTTGTGGCTTTGTTGCATGTGATCTAGAGGATTGGAAGCGACTGAGAAGGCAGAGTAGCAGCAACAACAACAACAACAAGTTTTTATCCCGCTCAGTGGGGTCAGCTACATGAATCCTTTTTTTCTATTGTCCTAGTGAGTGTCATATTTTCATTTAATTCTATAAAATTAAGATGTCTCTTAATCGGCTAATCAGATGGTCAATGTTTAATGTGACCAAATCATCTAAGCCGAGGAAGTGGAGACAGGTGCGGGATGGGGACTCTGGTTTCGCTGTTGTGTCGAGTAGTTGTTTGGGTTTGTCTCAACGATAATGATGGGTTTGAGAATTTGGTAAGCACAGGTACAGTTCTAGGATTAGA